TGTAGTTAATAAAGTTATAATTTTTCTATACAAAAATGCATTTCTGATAGATACTTCCCTCCTCTCACAAAATTAGCTTTTTCCTTTTTGTGCTGTCCTCTATATGTAAACGTTTTTAAACAAGCCTTCCACATCCCTCTGTTGGAATCCAAAGTTCCAACAGGTCTCTCATGCAAATCATCACGTGTCAAATCTCCAGCTATATGAGAGCACTACTATCATGTGATACATGTGACTCATTCTATGCACCAATACCTAACTATCACTTTGAAGTTTGGCAGAAGACGCAAGCAATGGAATATTGTGGGGAGGATGGGTGGGAAGTGCGAGTAGAGAAAAATATATTTTCTTATAGGAAAATTATAACTTCTGATACACCATCTTCCTTCCACTCGCAAGGTTAGCTTTAATCCCACACTGAAAAGGAGAAGGGACCAGTGCAAGGGCAGAACAACTGTATCCCTGAAATCATCCAAAGGACACCCCTACAGATGAGGGAAACAGATCAGATGATCTGAGGAGGGGCACCACACCACTTCTGAACCAGGTATCTATTTCTTCACCATGAACAGGTGGGAGCACATCCATGCGGGAGAGGATAGGTAAGTAATGTGATCCCAATCAGAAAAACAGAGACACTCAATCCCACATAATGAAAGTGGGTAATGGAGGATGGGTCCCATGGTGTACAGCGGCTAGAGTGCATTGGAACATATTCAGTAAGCCAACTAAATCCAAAACCTCACTTGCTGGGTACTGACATCCATGAAAGGGTAGGATGAGGATCATACCATCTTCACCTCAAGCCCTAGAGTTGTGAATGTACATATAATATTGACTCCAGGAAACGTCACAGGATGAGCAATGAGTTAGGGACCCGGGAATGTGTTATCCAGTATCTAAGGGAAATCCATTAACCCCTGCTACTGTGAAACTGGTCAGAAATGTCCACAGGTCTATAACATCCTCGTCATTCTGAGAACATGGGAATGCCCAGGACAGAAACAGAAATAGGCCACGTGAACCTCCAGGGTAAGGTCGAGAAACAGGACTCTGGACAGCCAATGTGAAAGGTGGATCACTGTTGGACAGAAGCCACCTGCGACT